GGCGGAGGGGGCGGAGGGGGCGGAGGGGGCGGAGGGGGCGGAGGGGGATGCGGATTACCCTAGAAGCTTGGTTCGCTTTACTCTCAGTTCTGTGTTCCCGGCCTTAGAAGGGGCCCATAGCCATGTTAGGGAAAGGTCAGACTTGGTGACCTCACTTAAAATGATTGCCCAAGGATTCTGTTGTGTGTTATTAATTGTAAAACTATTTCCTCTGACTTTGGAGTGAGCAATTATGCTTGATACCAAATCAAGAAACATTTAAGGCGGGGAGGGGTGGGGGGGACTTGATTGAAATCTCGGGAGCAGACAGTTGCAGAGAGTATTCTACATAATAATCATAATAGGGCCAGTGATGAACACCTCAATCCAGGAAACTCTCAGGCGCACATAATAATGAGTTTCCATTCCCATCCGACGTGTTTGAGAGAAATGGTATTTGAAGAGGAAGCAGCTAATGTTGAAAGTAGATATACAGAAGCAACTTTAAATGGTAGGTTGAGCCATTGGTGGAATTAATTTTTTTTTAAGCATTCTAGTTGCAAATTTCAGGATGCAGAATTCAGATCAACTTTGTCTGGTTTTGCTGTCAATGTCCTTTTTTGAAAATGTAAAATAACATTTCTTTTACTTCCAAGACAACTGCAGTCTTTCCTCGCCCTCCTTATCCTTTCACTGTAGTCGTGAAAATGACGTAAAACATTCATTAAATATCAATCATATATTTCCAAGACAGCAAAGTGTTTTTCATCCTCATTTCTCCTATATTCTTAAGTCACAATATGAGTTAATTGTTTTCCCATTTCTACATATTTTTCTATATTCTGTATATTTCTCATATATAATGCATGAATTAAGGAATAAACAGCCTTTTCATTTTTTTTTAATTGTTATTATTTGAGACAGAGTCTTGCTATGTTGTCCAGGCTGGAGTGCAGTGGCATGATCATGGCTCATTGTGGCCTAAACTCCTGGGCTCAGGTGATCCTCCCATGTCAGCCTCCCAAGAAGCTGGGACAACAGGTGTGCATCACCATACCTGGCTAATTCTCTCTCTCTCTTTTTTTCCTTTTTTTCTTTTGAGACAGAGTCTCCCTTTGTTGCTCAGACTGGAGTGCAGTGGTGCCATCTCGGCTCACTGTAATCTCCACTCACTGTAATTTCCACCTCCCAGGTTCAAGCAATTTTTGTGCCTTAGCTTTCCAAGTAGCTGGGTCTATAGGTGTGCGCCACAATGCCTGGCTAATTTTTGTATTTTTGGAAGAGACGAGGTTTTGCCATGTTGGCCAAGCTGGTCTTGAACTCCTGCTCAAGTGATCATCCCACCTCAGCTTCTTGAAGTGTTGGGATTACAGGTGTAGCCATGGCACCCCTGCTAAACTGCCTTTTTAAAAAAACGTACTGACCACCCTTTTTAGTATAACATTTCATTGGTTTTAGGTGATTGCTAATTATTCTAATCCATGGGAATTCAAGCAGAGTTTTTAGAGAAGTATTATGTTAATTTGGAGTATTTTTCCTGTTTCTTTAGGCTCAGATTATTGCTACTGTGTATTCAGAACTGCATGTGTTTCTTCTAAGTTGAATAAAGCTGTTTTGGAACTATCAGGTACCTCAACGGGTAAGTACATCCTTTGATTATATCTTATTTCCCTCCCTCCTGCTACCAATAATGGCCAATAATGATGCTTTTTTTTTCTCTTGTTCAACAAAATAAAAATATAGGGCAGTTCTCTCTTGTGAGTGCAATGATTGATGACCTACAGTTTCTAAGAAAACCAAAATTATAGGTAGAAGGAACTGTCAATGTTACCATTAAGAAATAAGTTAGGGTTGGGCATGGTGGCTCAGCCCTGTAATCCCAGCACTTTGAGAGGCTGAGGTGAAAGGATCCCTTGAGCCCAGGAGTTTGAGACCATCCTTGGCAACATAGTAAGATCCTGTCTGTATGAGAAAATTTTAAAAAATTGGCCAGGTGTGGTGGCACATGCCTATAGTCCCACCTACTCCAGAAGCTGAGGTGGAAGGATTGCTTGAGTCTGGGCGGTTGAGGCTGCAGTGAGCCATGATTGCGCCACTGCACTCCAGCCTGAGTGAGAAAGCCAGACCCTGTCTCAAAAAAAAAAAAAAAAAAAAAAAAAAAAAGCTAGCTGCTATTAGACATGTGTACCCTCATAACTATAACTCAGAATTGTGCTGTTGGGTCTGTGACTTCCTAAAGCTCTTAGCCACTGTTCCTGCACCAGCCTTCTTTAAACTCTATTCAAAACCATAGAAAATATATCATTTGAAAATATTTTTATTTGAAATTATGCCTTTGATAATATTTGTGTACCAAATTTTATCTGCTTTTCTGAAAGTCATGGTGGAACAGAGAGTCAAATGACAAATGTGAAGTGGTTATTTGAAATAGACTATATTTGATTCGGTCAGTATCTCCAAAGAGAATGATCTGTCCTTCTTGTTATATGACTAACCATCTGTAGCCATTTGCTCAGGGTCCAGAAGAAAAGTATGTTTCTAGTTGAAGAAAGTAAATAAGCCTGCTAATATAATCATTACTGACTTACATTTCTGACCATATTCTGCTTTACAAAGGACTTTGCTATTCATGATCTTACTACCTTGTGGGACATTTTACAGATGAAAAATTTGAGGGTCAGAGGACATAAGTGACTTGTCCAATTTGTAAATGATAGGTTATGATTGGCATTAAAGTCTTTGATCTCCTGGACAATACCAAGCAGCCTCCTAGATGGAAACAACAAACTCACTTATGTGTATATATGACCTAGCTCAAAGCTCTCATCCAGCTACTGCTTATGACTGCTTGTCAGATTTGTTAAAGTGTTTTTAGCCTTGCATGTTTTCCACAGTCCTTAATTAGGGATTTTCACATGGCAAAAAGATGTTAATTTTTTCCCCATTAAAAAACATATAAATTGTTTAGCTTTGATAAATATTAATTTGATATATTAACCACTCTTAAGAGAAGTACATCTAATTCATGCCATACCTATTAAGTTGAAAACAGAAGAATCAACACCGGAATAATTGACTTTTTTTTTTTTTTTTTTTTTCTTTCGAGACGGAGCCTCACTCTGTCACCCAGGCTGGAGTGCAGTGGTATGATCTCGGCTCACTGCAACCTCCGCCTCCTGGGTTCAAGTGATTCTCCTACCTCAGCATCCCAAGTAGCTGGAACTATAGGCACATGCCACCATACCCAGCTAATTTTTGTATTATTAGTAGAGATGGAGTTTCACCATATTGGCCCAGCTGGTCTCAAATTCCTGACCTTGTGATTTGCCCACCTCGGCCTCCCAAAGTGCTAGGATTATAGGCCATAAGTCACCGCACCTGACCAGGAATAATTGACTTTCTAATCATTGTTGAAGTTAGCCAATATTGCTAAACCTAGTTATTTATTTCTAGAAGCATAGTCTATATGTAAGTACCTAAGGATGGCCTCCTCTTTGCTAATCACAGGTTTCTGGGAGAAGGAAATGAGTGTTGTGTTATAAAATATTTTATAAAATGGGAGTCTTTTGGCCAAAAAGGAGCAGAAAGCAGGGGCACAGTCTAGAAGCAGTCTGGATGCATCGGAACGCAGAGTAGCGTGAATTCTCCCAAATGAAGTGAATGGAACTGAGACTAAATTTCTGTCCGTACTCTGACCAGAGTTATATAGAACCTCCATTTGTTTGTTCATTCATTCAACAAATAACTGAGTGCCTTTTATATGCCAGTATTGGACACAGTGAACAAAACAAAGGGATCTCTGTCCTGGAATGGGAAAGAAAACAACACTGAACAAGTAATTATAAGAATGATCACTGTTACAGAAAAAAAAGTGCAAAAGTGCTACCACAGCATATAACCATGGGCGGCGGGGGGGGCGGGTTTAAGGGTGAGCCTCTCTGGACACTAGAAGAATGAGTAAATATTAGCTAAGCAAAGAATAGGTTGGGATTAAGAAACTTCTAGGAGAAAGAAGAGCATGAGGGGAGACCCTTAACCAAATTAGAAAGTGGAAAATTTTGGAAGTTAAAAGAAAGGTGGTGTGGCTGCATAGACTATAGTGTGTAAGGTGGGAGAGTGGCACATATGAAGCTTGAGAATTTGGTAGGAATTAGATGGTGTAAGCTATGGGGAGGATTTAAAACTTTAGAGACTTTATTCTGTGGGAGATGCGAACTTATTGAATGGTAAGAAATTGAATGACAGATGAGGTTTCCATTTGAAAAAAATTATTCTGGATTAAAACTGGTTGGCACAGCACAAGAGTAGAGGTCTTTTTACCTCTGCAAGTATGAACAAATCCTAATCTGGAAGTCAGCATTATCTTTGTTTTAAAACATTAAACATATTCTTGCCCCCAAACTATCCTATAAAATGTTACTTCAGCCAGACACAGTGGCTTACTTTTGTAATCCCAGCCCTTTGAAAGGCTGAGGTGCGGGGATTGCTTGAGGCCAAGAGTTCAAGACTAGCTTGGGCAACATAGCAAGACCCCATCTCTACAGAAAACTTAAAAATTAGCCCATCATGGTGGCATGCAGCTATAATCCCAGCTACTCAGGAGGCTGAGGCAGGAGGATTACTTGAGCCCAGGATCTCAGCTCACTGAAATCTAGTGAGCTGTGATCATGCCCTGTTCTCCAGCTTGGGTGATAGAATAAGACCCTGTTTTAAAAGAAATTACTTTATCTTTCTGGTGGGATATATGACTTATCAAATCATAGGTATGTGAAATTAGGAACAGGACATAAAAAGTAAAGTAGCCAAAAGAAGTTACAAGGAGCTAGACATTAATTCCAGCATCAGGCTGAATTTTAGCTTAAGAATTAAGGTTAATAGTACTTTTCTTCTGAAAAAGTGCCATGGAATCCTTGTTGACTCTGTATAAGTCCTTTGTCTGTCCATGAGACCTGAGCTAAGAATGTTTCATCAAAGGCAATTTCAGAGGACCAATATAACACTTGTATTGATTTGATGCAGGAGATAGTTAAACGCATTTAATACTGAAATAAATATTGACCCACCTCTCTTCATTAATGTCATTTGATAGTCTATAGGCTAAGAATTATAGGAATTTATTTATTTTTCTTAAACATTTGTATTTTTGTAGAGATGGGGTCTTGCTATGTTGCCCAAGCTGGTCTCAAACCCCTGGGCTCAAGGTATCCTCTCACCAGAGCCTCCCAAAGTGCTGATATTATAGGCATGAGCCACAGCACCTGGCCTGGAATTTATTAATAATAGAGTTATACATCTTCATCTTGTTTCTCACTCCATTTACATTGCAGGAATCAGTATTACAAGGCAGTTTTATTGCAGAAATCTCAATTACATTGAAATTCCAAGTATTTCTATACTACTTCTGTTTTTCCTTGTTTGTTTGTTTTGAGACAGAGTCTTGCTCTGTTGCCCAGGCTAGAGTGCAGTGGTGCGATCTGGGTTCACTGCAACCTCCGCCTCCCAGGTTCAAGCCTCAGCGTCCCGAGTCACTGGGATTACCAACACGTGCCATCATGCCGGCTAGTTTTTGTATTTTTAGTAGAGATGGGGTTTCACCATGTTGACCAGGCTGGTCTCAAACTCCTGATTCAAGCGATCCACTCACCTTGGCTTCCCAAAGTGCTGGGATTACAGGCATGAGCCACTTCACCCAGCCAGTATACTACTTCTGAAAGCAAAAAGGAATTGTGATATATACCATGGAATACTATGCAGCCATAAAAAAGGATGAGTTCATGTCCTTTACAAGGACATGGATGAATCTGGAAACCATCATTCTCAGCAAACTGACACAAGAACAGAAAACCAAACACCCCATGTTCTCACTCATAAGTGGGTGTTAAACAATGAGAACACATGGACACAAGGAGGGGAACATCGCACACTGGGGTCTGTTGCAGGGTGGGGGGCTAGGGGAGGGATAGCAGGGGGTGGGGAGATTGGGGAGGGATAACATTAAGAGAAATACCTAATGTAGGTAATCGGGGGCTGGAGGCAGCAAACCACCATAGCATGTGTATACCTGTGTAACAATACTGCAAGCTCTACACATGTACCCCAGAACTTAAAGTGAAATAATAATAACAATATTCACCAAGAAAAAAAAAAGGAGGAATTCTGATTGCATTAGAACTTTGAGTGGGTTATCTGAAGTCTTCTGAAGCTTGAAAGAAACAGAGGGAACATTTTTCTTATGTAGTCACAACTTTAATCAAATCATTCTCCTTTATTTCTCAGTCGTTTAATCCTGGATGATAAATTTTATTTACTTATTCACATTGCTTAACACCTAACAATAATCACTTGATATGTAGTAATTATACAGTTGATTCACCCCCAGCACTTCGAATTTACATAAAACAGCCGATTGTTTCCACAAGTCTGTCTGTAAACACACTGGGAGCAAGGTCCAGATCTCAGTAGTCTTGGTGTCTTTCCAGGGCTTACCAGAGTGTTTTGCATGTGTTAGACACTCAGCACAACATAAGTACTTGTGGAATGAATGATTGCTTCTTAGTAATAGCTACTTCCTTGTACAGTTCTTCATTACTAGTGACCTTTATGAGTTACTGTGGTCTTTGTACAGACCCCACTACTCGTTTATTCAAATAATCCTAGAATGACTTGTGTGCCAGGCACACAAGTTGTATGGGAGAGATAGACAGGTGAATGAACAAAGACCACCAGAGAGCTGTATCCTAGAGCTTGGCATCTCTAGTAGCCTTTTCCAATGCAAACATTCTCAAATCTGTACTGGTTTCCATTTCTATACTAAGGTATTTGGTTGCTAGAATTAAGCAAAACAACTTTTTCCCCATTTGCATGAAAAAAAATACTGTAATTTGTCTTCCCCTTTCATAAAATTTTCTTAAACAGTTGCTACTTTTGATAATACTGATAGAAGGTGACATAATAAATAGTAAACTAACATTAATGGAAAAACTTGGAACCGTGTTTAACTTGAGGACTTTAAAAATGGTTACTTGTTCTTAAACTCTGATTTTACATTGTACATTTACATTTATATATGCTGTATGTGTATATTTGAATGTATGTATGTACACATAGGCATTTTTTTGGTTAGTAAAATTATTCTGGCTAGGGGCAGTTGCTTGTGCCTATAATCCCAACTTGTAATTTCAGCACTTTTGGAGGCCAAGGAAGGAAGATTGCTTGAGGCCAGGAGTTAGAGACCAGTCTGCCCAACATGGTGAAACCAAGTCTCTAAAAGAAAGCAAGAGAAAGGGAAGAAGAATTGTGAGGGTGGAAGGAGGAAGGCTGGGCGCAGTGGTTCACGCCTGTAATCTCAGTACTTTGGGAGGCTGAGGCGGGTGGATTACTTGAGCCCAGGAGTTTGAGACTACCCTGGGTTACATGACGAAACCCCATCTCTACAAAAAATTAAAAAATTAGCTGAACGTAGTGACATGTGCCTGTGGTCCCAGCTTCTCAGGAGGCTGAGATGTGAGGATCGCTTGAGCCTGGGAGGTCAAGGCTACAGTGAGCTATGATTGTGTCACTGCACTCTAGGCTGGGCAACAGAGTAAGACAGGTCACACACACACACACACACACACACACACACACACACACACATACACACACACACACACACAGACACACACAAATTATTCCTGTATTATATGACTGGATTAAATATACAAATAACATTGTTTTCTTTTTTTCTTCTCTTTTCTTTTTTTTTTTTTTTGGTGAGATGGAGTCTCTGTTGCCAGGCCAGAGTGCAGGGGTGAGATCTCTGCTCACTGCAACCTCCACATCCCAGGATCAAGTGATTCTCCTGCCTCAGCCTCCTGAGTAGCTGGGCCTACAGGCATGTGCCACCATGCCCAGCTAATTTTTGTATTTTTAGTAGAGATGGGGTTTCCCCATGTTGGTCAGGATGGTCTCGATCTCTTGACCTTGTGATCCATGTGCCTCGACCTTCCAAAGTGCTGGGATTATAGGCATAAACCACTTTATAAAACAAATAACACTGTTTTATAAAGAACATTTTGCCCTCCCACTGGAATTCATATGAGAATCACATTCTAAGCCAGCTTCCTAGCATTTTGGTCATAATTGTCTTTCTGATCCTGAAAGCTTGGAAACAGAACTTCACCGTCTCATAATATTTGATTCTCAAAGGATGATGGAACTGTATTCAGAAATAAAAATTATTCTCAACCTTGCCCCTTCACATCCTCTGACCAAAAAAAGTAAATGAGCTACCTTATTGAAGTAGTCTGCTCTGTTACCTCATAGTTGGCATTATAGAAGGCAGAGAAAGCTCTACTTTGAGAGTAAATATCAGACCCTTGAGGAAATTAAAGCTGAATAAAATGCTAGCTTTTTATAGTTTGTTATATACAGAAAAAGAATATGGCCTTTTAATTTGGAAGGAAAGAAAGGTTTTTCTTGTTTTTCTTGTAATAGCCTTAGTAGAAATAGGTTGTCATTACTTCAAAAATGTTTGCATTCATCTTATGTGAACAGCAGTAGTAGTAGCCAACAAATGCTATAGATTTCCCTGAAAAGCACTTGGGTTATCTTGAATCAACAAGGAAGTAGTTAAGCAGAATAATTTCAGGGACCTTTGTTCTCATCTTTTCATTTGACTGACTCATTGGAGATGAGCTCATTTACTTTTTATAATTTCCTAGTGTGCCTAGTACATAGGAATGAGATCCGTTTGCTTTTTTCTTAGTTAACGTTCAGTGAATGTTCTTTGAACTACTTTGATATACCAACCACTGAGTTGGGTCACTGAATGCAAAGAAGTAGTTAACACTTGGATATAGCATTTATTGTGTTCTAGACACGTTTTAAGCTCTTGACATATTATCATCTCATTGGACCCACAGAACAATGCTGTGATGTTGGGACTCTTATTTTTTCCATTTCACAGATGAAGAAAATGAGGCAGGGAAGTTCTGTATCTGGCCCAACATCAGTGGGCTAGTAAGTGAGGAGACAGGGATTAGAATCCAGACAGTCTGGCTAAGAGTTGACTCTCAACCATTCTCCTGTCCTATAGTGCTTCTTTCCCTACACCATTCCCTTTTATGAGCCTTCTTCACCCCTGCTATATGAACATTTGAGCCTGAATTTGTGGTGTTTGTAGCTAACTGATGACTGATGAGTGAGCCCTTGCAATACGAGTGCCTGACACATGCAGAATGATTGATATATGTGTGATGAAAGAACAATTATTGACAGACAGGAAGATTGAAGGCATGATTGTAAGAGACTTTAACATTATCTTGGTTGTTTTTAAATAGTGAAGAAAAATACTGATGGCTAAAGATTTTATTGTTCCATGACCCAGTCAGTAATAACCAAATGTGTGTGCACCTGTGCTCTGAGGTCACACACACTCATGCATTTATATACCCTTATATTGTACAGAGAGGAAACAAGGGGGAGACTTTTCCTCTTTGCATTGACATTTCATCATTAGATGTGTTGCCAGTTGGCACCACCCTTCCTTCTCTGTTCTCCTATTGTCCCCTCACAATTTGTCCTCTTGTGTGTCACCTCCTAGTCTGACTGACAGCACTCCACAAGCTTGCCTGCCATGGGCTGTCGGGATGTCCACGCAGCCACAGTCCTTTCCTTCCTGTGTGGAATTGCTTCAGTAGCAGGCCTCTTTGCAGGGACTCTGCTTCCCAACTGGAGAAAATTACGATTGATCACATTCAACAGAAATGAGAAGAACCTGACTGTTTACACAGGCCTGTGGGTGAAATGTGCCCGGTATGATGGGAGCAGTGATTGCCTGATGTACGACACTACTTGGTACTCATCAGTTGACCAGCTGGACCTGCGTGTCCTCCAGTTTGCCCTACCCCTCAGCATGCTGATCGCAATGGGTGCCCTGCTGCTCTGCCTGATTGGAATGTGCAACACTGCCTTCAGGTCCTCGGTACCCAACATCAAACTGGCCAAGTGTCTGGTCAATAGTGCAGGTTGCCACCTGGTGGCTGGGCTGCTGTTTTTCCTGGCAGGTACTGTGAGCCTCTCCCCATCTATCTGGGTCTTCTTTTATAACATCCATCTGAACAAGAAGTTTGAGCCAGTCTTTTCGTTTGACTATGCAGTGTATGTCACTATTGCTAGTGCTGGGGGCCTGTTTATGACTTCCCTTATACTGTTTATTTGGTATTGTACATGCAAATCTTTGCCTTCTCCTTTCTGGCAACCACTGTATTCCCATCCACCCAGTATGCATACTTATTCACAGCCTTATTCAGCACGCTCTCGCCTCTCTGCCATTGAAATTGACATTCCAGTAGTTTCACACACCACTTAATGGGGAAATAGTTAATTGTTAAAACTTCTTGTAGCCTCACATTCCCCTTGTGCAAGGAGCTCTTTTGGACCTGTATACATTTTCCTTTGTTTTTGACCAGTCATTGAAGCCAAATTTGTATGTCCTGGTAGAATGAAGTGCTGCTAGTTTTTATGAGAAGTACGTTATATTAAATGTGAATTTTTTATTTTGCTTCTTATACTGGAAGAAATTTTAGCCTTCATATTGATATCTAATCAATTATTTAAGTCGGAAAGGCCTGCATCACAATTGAGGTGATTTAGAGGAACATGTTAAAGAATGTTGGTTAACAGAAACTCTTGTATACAGTCTTCATGAACATTTCAGTGTGTATTTTTCTTTTTCTACAATACCTTTAACTGCAAAAAAAGAAGCAGTTTCAAATATAAGAAATTTATTTCAGGCAAAGGTAATATTTTAATAGTAGTCAATAATCTAGCTTAAGGTTGTAACTCTTCTCTTTTGGGGCTAATTGTATGAATAGGTGTCAGTATGTTGAAAATTACTTTTGTGGGTTTCTTCTACCTCATGCCAGTGTTTCAAAGTAAACTGTATTTTGAATGATGTTAGAATAAGACTAACATTCTAAATATCTACTACTTATAAATGACATGTAACAATTTTAACATTAATGATTCCATAAATTACATTATTGGGATTAAACTGTGCTTTATGACAGGTTAGTATTTCCTCCATGAAAATCCTTTTTTGGAGATATCATTCGTCAAGCAGTACTCATGCCCATATACAATCTCTTACTGGCTAAGAGAAATAAATAAAAGGGCCATAATAGTTTGTTCTCTTTCACACATAATTTAGTATGGGACAAGAAGTCTGTTCTTCAGTGACTACACTAGAGATTTACTCTGGTAATTGCCTTTTGAGTTATGGGTGAAGTAAGGTATGGCCTTATCATAACCTTGATTCATTCACCCTTGATTAATTTCCCACCCCCATCACTGATTATTTCCTTGAGCATATATCTCTGCCTAACACTTTAGTAGGTGCTATAGAGGATACGTGAGAAGTATGAGATTGGTCCCATCCAGTAAGACATTTTAATAGAGAAGATCAAAATGTTACCTGACAGTTGGGGAACAGTCTAACTTCATTGGCAGTTGGCCTTAACTTCTTAATCATTAATCCAGGAATATATTTCAACCAGAAACGCGAATTTCTGGCAAACAGACAAATTGTACAATACCAACAATATCCTGGACCTTGAAATTCTGTTTACTTCAGTCCATTGTATCCTTAAGGCACCTGTGTTAGCCTAGATTTTGTAATAACAGTCTTTTATGAGAATGAGCAAAGTGGTAGAGAAATTAAATTGTTCCCTCTCCACTTCTGAAAGTATGATGATGTATTAAGGAAGGAGGAGTTATTAAAAATATCTCTTCTGATGAGGTAACAATTAGATGAAACCATGTTAAAACTGAGATGAACACTTAGAAATTCAGGGATATTGGGTCTTTAGCCTTATGAATTTGAGCTGCTTATTTAATTGGTGTAATTTGCTACATATTAGTACTATATTCATAAGGATTTTTTATTAATCATTACAGATTTTACAAACAGTTGTATGGTAAACAGATTATTATACTTTTTGCAAATCTAAATATGAGTCTAGATAGTATTTGTGTAGATGTATTTGGTACTTTCTCCCCTAATTCCAATACTAGTTTATATATATAGCAAATAAATCTAGTTGTATACATTTTTAAATACCATCAGTAGAAAGCACACAACCCTATGTTTTTTTTAGTTAATAGCTTCTGATTTCTTTCACTTTTCACTTTTCTCAGATGTAGCGGAGTCTTGATCATTTTAAGACAATGGTGGGTAGAATTTTGAGATTATTATTACTTTTCCCTTTTTGTTAATTAATTTCAGTCCTCTCTCACTATGCTTTTGTCCAGAAGGATCAAGAATTCTACCATCCCCTGGGTCTTTGTGTATAAACAATGTTAAAGAAAGGTGGACACAGCTATTAAGATATTAGACAGATTTTTTAGTCCGTGGGATTGTACATATAAACATTAAGCTTTCCTATAAGAATCTTTTGGCTTTGTAATCTTTAGTTTCAAATTGGTATTTATTATGGATTCACTAGACAAACAGCTGTTTCTTTATTGTCTTTTTCCTTTAGTGTTTCTGATTTGCTATCAGTAGCTATTTTTAAAGCAATCAAAGGAAAATAATTATTTACAGTTTTTGAAGTCACTTTTGAGCCTTCATCAAGCTCTCATTGTGACGGGAGGGATACCTTTTGTTGTTAAAAGCCAATTAATGTTAAAGGCCTTTTATAGAAGCCAACTTGGAAAACAACTTTAAATGTGGATGTATCAGACTTGATTTATCCAGCCATGGGAGAGAAAACAAACCTAAGTTTACTTTACTTGTACATACACACTACGATGGATAGTATGTTTGCTGTAAACTACAATGTAAAACCTCAATAAAAGTGCACTGTACTTCTTGATGTTTATTAAAAGATGATGTATTTTTACAAGTTTCTGCTTCTGTTTTTTTCCTCAGTGTTTTAGGTGAAATATTTTGAGAAATGTTTCTCGAATGTGTATAAATTGAAAAAGACATTTTCATTTAAAGCCCTAAAACATATGAACTGGAAGGCCGGGTGCAGTGGCTCACGCCTATAATCCCAGCACTTTAGGAGGCTGAGGCAGGTGGATCACTTGAGGTCAGGCACTTGAGACTATCCTGGCCAACATGGCAAAACCCTGTCTGTACTAAAAATACAAAAAATTAGCCAGGCATGGTGGTGCATGCCTGTAATCCCAGCTACTCAAGTGGGTAAGGCACAATAATTGCTTGAACATGGGAGGTGGAGGATGCAGTGAGCTACGATCATGCCACTGCATTCCAGCCTGGGTGATGGAGACTCCGTCTCAAAAAAGGAACTAGAAAGGAATTAGAAAACGTCAAATTATTATCATACAAGCGTCAAGACCCTTTATCCATTTCTAAAAATAGTCCAAGTGATCCTGTGGTCCTAACAGTTCACTGGGCTTTTGTCGTTGTTTTGTTTTTTAAACGGTCCACAAAGAAACAATGAAGTTGTGGGCCAGATTTGTCTCATCAATGGAGTTTTCTTAGCCCATGATCTTAGAGACTGGGAATTTGGTTCTCAAACAGTTAAGTAGAGGGAACTGTCCATACTCTTCAAAGCTCGAGGTTACCAGAAGTGGTCCTGACAGGCATGTCACCTCAACATTTCTGAAACCTGTGATGAACATGTAGTCTTAGATTACACCTGTGTTGGGACAGTTCTTACACTTCTCACTGAAACATGTTGCTCTGATAGCATTAGGTGGTCAAGCCATATATTGCACTGGAAATCAGAAGCTACTTCAAACTGGGTTACACTAAAGCACAACAGTCCATTTTGGACTGTTCTGCAGGTTCACGTGGGTGAATAAATGGTAGAGGAACCATTCATGCTAACCAAGTTCACAGGAGACTGGTTTACCAACCAGAAGTGAGAAATACATGTTACTTGGAACCCTCATACACAGCTAGTTTTATCCAAGACCCAGCACACCTTACTCTGCCAAAAAGTGAGGAAATGCTCAAAGAATCATGGGAGCTTATCAAATTTCACAGGAGCCAGATTGAAGGTGCTCCCATTGGCCAAATGTGGGACATTTGAAAAATCAAAATAAATGATAGTAATGGCTCTTTCTTTTTCTTTTTTTGAGACAGAGTCTTGCTCTCTCGCCTAGGCTGTAGTGCAGTGGCGAGATCTTGGCTCACTGCAACCTCTGCCTCAGCCTCCCAAGTAGCTGGGATTACAGGTTTGTGCCACTACACCTAACTAATTTTTGTATATTTAGTAGAGATAGGGTTTTACCATCTTGACCAGGCTGGCTTGAACTACTGACCTTGTGATCCACCAGCCTTGGCCTCCCACAGTGTTGGGATTACAGGCATGAGCCACCACACTCGGCCCGAAAAGCTCTTTCTTATAGTAAAATACCAAATAATAAGTAGAGAAAAAAAAATGAGAAAAACATCAATGGAAATAAAACTAGTTGAATTTTTTCCGAGAAGCAGGATATTTACTTAGTCTGAAAGTACAAAATGGCTTATTAATTTCAGAAAGGAAAATAACATTATAGTGGATAAACTCGGCAACCTTAGCTGAGTGATCAGGTTTATCACCAATAACAAGAAAAAGCAACATCATGCACTTCATGATGTGATGCAAGGAGAAGGCTACAATATTTCTGAGGTATTGCCTGAGTCTAATCTTGTTGGTCCCATTTTTTTCTTTTCATTTCCTTCTCTATCCTGATCTCATATCTCTTCATTTTTATAAAAATGCATAAAGACGTAGTCCTATCTCCAAAACTTTTTATAAAATAAACTCTTTTAGGAGAGATTTTAAAGAATTTGTGTCAGAATTCTGTCCTGAAAAACTAAAAAGTCCCTGCAGAAGAGTTGTAAATCAAAGTCACAGAACCACAGGACTGGATGGGAACTTAGTTAGCTGTTCCATTTCTGTTGGTTAGCAATGTCTTCAATCTGAAAACATACTCATGTTACCCCACACACACGAGAGGAGCGTTTCCAGGAGAGGCTCATCCCCCCCGACCTGCCGGGTGCTCCTTATCCCTCCAGCCCAGGAAGCTTCTGCGTCAGTGCCATAGCATGCAAGAGAGCCCTTTCAGCCTCACTGCAGGACTGTGGAACTTGGGAAGAAAAAGCACATCTATAGCATAGCCTGCCTAGTGTTCATAACCAAATATCTAAATCCGCTATTAATGGGAAATTTGGGTTGGTTGGTTTTATTTTGTTTCAAAATATACCAACTTTTCAGACTGTTCTATAAAAAATTGTATTCAGGCCGGGTGCGGTGGCGCACACCTGTAATCCCAGCACTTTGGGAGGCTGAGGCAGGTGAATCATGAGGTCAGGAGTTCAAGACCAGCCTGACCTAGATGGCGAAACCCTGTCTCTACTAAAAGTTACAGAAAAATTAGCCAGACGCAGTGGCACGTGCCTGTAATCCCAGCTACTACTCAAGGGGCTGAGGCAGGAGAATTGCTTGAGCCTGGGAGATGGACATTGCAGCAAGCCAAGATCGTGCCACTGCACTCCAAGCTGGGTGACAGAGCAAGACTGTCTCAAACACACACACACACACCCCACACTGTAGTCAGCAAATTTTTGGGACGATAGTGAGATGTTGGATGAGAAGAAAAGAACATTTTTCTTATATGAAAAACCCAGTGCGACTAGACCTCTTAGCAAAAGTATAGTAATCATGGTTTGGGGATGATCTTATTAACCAAAATCCTCTTTAGAAAGATGAAACATAAACTCATATCTCCAGGATTTTGCTTTATAGGAAAAAAGGCACAGCTTCTCATTAAAAGAAAAAACGTTATTGATACTTTATATAATACCTAGTGGTCTTGTTCCAAGATTCATTCTTAAATTGTTGAAAGTGAATCCAGTAAACAAATCTAGATAACTCACTTAAATTTTTAAATAATTTCTACTTTTCTCTCCATGCCTCCTTTCTTGACCTCACTTTCAAAAAAATAATCTTGTGGTGTGGAAGATCCAGGTGGCAGTTTGTCACCAGGAGGCTGCTGCAAGGGACCTACCAGGCCCTGGTAGCCCTCCTCTGGGGTGAGCCCATCTTCACCTTTGCTGGCCATGTGGATGAGGACGGAGACTCAGCTGGTCCCTTGTGTTCCAGAACTGCTAACCTGCTTCTCTGGCTGCTTCTGCTTTAAGAGCTCAAAGGCAGCAGTGGAGTGCTGGAGTCAAGTAGTACAGGGCCACAAGAGCCAGTGTGTATATCTTTCCCCAATCCCCCGACCTATCACATCATATTGGTTGCTTGGAAATGGCCATGGTGAAAGTATTTATGCTCTAGAAATTGTTATACAAGTTAGGGCTTTGCTTTGCCTTTTCCTGAGGGCTGATTGTTAAACATTTACTGGCACACTGCTGCTCAGGCAAGACTCGTTTGCTGAGGTTCAGGTTAGCTAATGAGGAAATGAGGAATCATAGCAATACTGAGAGTTGTAAAACTTTATCTGTGATAAAGGGGCTATCTGAAATAGCCTCTTAACAGGTTTCTCTGTCTCCAATATTGCTCTGTCTCCAACCCTACCACAAATTTATCCTATAGGCTAGGATTCAGAATGATCCTAATAAAATGCAACTGAGGCTGGGTGCTGTGGCTCACAGCTGTAATCCCAGCACTTTGAGAGGCTGAGGCAGGTGGATCACCCGAGTTGAGGAGTTCAAGACCAGCCTGGCCAACATGGCGAAACCCCATCTCTACTAAAAATACAAAAATTAGCCAGGTGTGGTGGCATGCATCTGTAGTCCCAGCTACTTGGGAGGCAGAAGGCAGGAGAATTGCTTGAACCCGGGAGGCGGAGGTTGCAGTGAGCCAAGATCTCACCATGGTACTCCAGCCTGGGTGACAGAGCGAGACTCCATCTTGGAGAAGAAAAAAAAATGCAACTGATACCTAGTCTCTCCTATACTTAAATAATTTGGCAGCTACATCTTAGTATAAGCATAGAGACATGAGTTGTTTAGAAGAATTTTTTTCAATGTGCCCAGAGATGATGAGACAGCTGGTAATTATTGATATTAACAATATCTCACAAGATGAATGTGTAAAAAAAAAAAAAAGTGAATTTAATAATAACAGAATATCTCTTTTCCATGACTAAATTGGTCACATTCCTTATTCAAGAAATATCTGTTTCCTCTATTATTCATTATTATAGAAAGAGTGGCATGATGAATATGGTAGCTAGCCTCTAAGATGGACCCGGTGATCTTGCTTCTTGGTGTTCACACCCTGTGTATTCCCTTCTCCCACTGAGCACCCCCTACTGGTAACTCCCTCCCTGTGTTACCAGTGGGATTTTGCAGAAATGATGGTGTGTGAACTTTTAGGTCATAAAAGACATAGCTTCTGTTTTGTTCTCTCTGGGGTAAGCCAGCCACAATATTGTGAGGACATACACAGATGTAGGATTAACGTAGGAAAAGCTGCCAACAATCTGTACCAAATTGCCACCCATATGAGAGAGCTATCTTGGAAGTGAATTTCCCTAACCCCAACCAAACCTTTAGATGACTGCAAAACTGGCCAATGTCTTGAATGCAACCAGAGTGAGAGACTGAAAACCAGCATCACTCAGTTAAGTCCTCACACCTTCTTGACCCACACAAATTGGATGAAACAATGCTTATTGTTGTCTTAAGCTGCTAAATTTTGGGCTGTTTTGTTATGCAGCAGTAGATAACTAATGCAAAAAGCATAGAGCAGATTCAGGGGATCGATCCAGTATTTATTTCTATGCTAAGAGTATTGTGAGCTTTCCTTGCTCCATATCAGAAAAGCTCTTTCTCATGATCTCAGATTCCCTAGGAAGATGCTGACTATTGCTATAATGTGGTGAAACAACTTAATCTGAAGGGATTAGTGCAGATTAAGTTAGGGAGAAAGGAAGA